GACAGTGACTTAAAAACGCCTAAAACATGCAGAGTTTGAAACAGCAAGGCAGTGTAGAACAAAACATTTTTATGCTTCATTGAGTTCTCCCTTATTTTTCTGACTCCAATGCTTGGCTCCATTAGATTTACTGTAGGAAAATTCTAGTTTACTGCAGCAGGTCCCAACATCAGAAGTGGCCACGGTGAGCAAACCGAGGGAGGAGGCAGAGAGGTGCTGCTGTTGGTGTCTCACCCAGCCCTCACATCCCCACATCACAGAGATCCCATCAGAGCTGAGTCAAACTCAGGCCCACGGATGCAGAGCAAGGCAATGAGTGCATGCTGACATCCATCCCTGATGCATCAGAAAAGGACTCTGCATTATAAGTTCACACTTTCCCCCACACACAGACACCCCCAGAGGACCTGCACTTCCAGAAGCAAATTAAATCCTCATGGTTTTGCCTTTGAAACAAACCATTATTTCCTGAAGGTGGACAGAAAACTGTTTAAGGAGGCAGAACATCATCTACCAGAATCCAGAGCACTGCCATCCTGCAGGAACTCACCCCATCTTCCAGGGGGGCTGAAATTCCAATACCTAAAGGGCCTCTGAGAAGGTGAATGGGGGATGAACTCTCTAAAAAAAAAGATATATTTTAAGAAACAGTGAAATACTTCATTTCTGAAAGTGCCTTTTGATCACTCTAACCTTTGGTTTTAACCACTCTGGTGTCTCCTGCCAAGTGTGGTTTACAGATGACACATCATCATGGCACCAGGAATGGACTTGTTGATAAGTTAAATAATGGGACTACTTTCAGACCATTTTTATAGCTGAAAATTCTCATGGCATAAAAGAGTCATCATACAGTTATTTCACTGTGGAAAACTGTTATTTTTCTTAGAATAACTTTGAACTCTGTAACTTTTTGGGAAGGGGGTTGTTTTTCAAATAAAACCCTGCTTCCTTTCTTCCCCAAAAAACTCAGCTTGTATTAGCTGGAATGATACCAAATCCACAGAGATATGTGTTCAGACAGATTGTAAATTTAGCTAGAGCATTTATATGTTACTAAATCCAAACAAAGATCTAAAGCAAGATGCAAAATATCACACACAAAAAAAAAAGTCCCAAAATATATGGAATGGGATTTTTAAAGCTGAGCAAGGGACTCAGCCACACAAGTTTGAAAGAAATTGATTAATTATGTGGTTGATAACCTTGGTTTATATACCATGTTAAATCCTGGTATAACTTCATTGTCTTCAGTGGAGCTGCACTGCAAATGCTTTTGACAGATTGTCATGATTCTTCTCCAAGAATAACTTCTAAGGCAGAAGTTTTAAACATGAGTGAATGAAAGTCCTGTGCCAAGTCCTACCCTAATTTATGCCCTGTATAAAACAGCTGAGTTGGAAGTGAGGGTGTCAGGGAAGGCAGGAGGAGACATGAGTCTGTTCTTCCTTTGCTGGGACGTTACATCAGCTCCCCTTGGTGATGGCCTTGTCTCCAAACAGCACAGCGGGAACCCACAAGGCAGCTTGTGGGAGATTCTTTCCTTCCCAGCCTGCAAGTTCTTGTGTTTCACAAGCTCTAAGTGTTCAGGGAAGAGCCTGGAGTAGTGGAGAGCCATGAAATTCACTCCTGTTAACTACTGCATCAATCTGAGCCGGGGCTGCTCAAATTCAAAATGAATTTGAGGATGAGCACTGGAAATGGCCATTTTAATATGAATATTGGAATTAGGCACTTAATCAGAAAATAATGTGTGTTAGGCAGTCTCGGTCCCAGTGTTATTTTTAATCAAAACCCAGCATTTGGATTGGTTTTCTTTAGTCTGTTGGGTTATTTTTGGCTCATTATTAGCATTAGAGTAAAATTGACTGGTCAAACAGTATACACACCTTTGCTCAGGTGAGAGGGAAGTAATGCCCATCTCAACTCATCTTTTATGCAACATTACTAAAGACATGGGGAGGATTTTGTTATTTTGCCCAAAGCATCATTTAAGCCAGCAGCAACAATCTGACTGCTCCAGCTCCAAGCCTAGTGAATTGCTGATGTCCTCACTCCTGATTCTTCTGCTGGCAGAGCTATTTTACAGCAAAGTGATGTAATCTGGCAGTGAGTGAGCTCAACACAAACAGCCTGGCTCCAGCAATACCCCTGCTCCAGGGGATCATTGCTGGGGCAGGAGGCACCAGCCAGCAAGTTGGACTCCAACTCACAGCCCAAGCACTTGGATGCCCTTCCCAGCTCTTCTTTCATTGTCTATTTTCAGTCAAATCAGGCAGCAAAGCCCCATATATTGCTTTAATACCCCACTGGATGTCAAAGCCCATCTGCTGAGCACCTCTAATGAGGCAAAAGTGAAGATATTTCCCATCCAACATGGTCTGAAATACTTATAAACAGAACAGGCTCTGGATCAAGAGCCTCTCACCCTCTCCATCTGTGAAATGCAGCTAGCTGCTAATCTTCAGCCTCATAAAAATGTGTGGAAGGGAAAAGCTTTATAGGATGTGCTGTGACCACTGCCATGACAGAGAGCAGCAGCATTTTGAAGGAATTTGACTGGGTCAGAAGGAGAGAGGTTGAGCAGAGCCAGCTTGGAGGAGCTGCCCTGCACAGCCTCAAGGTGCCCCAAAACAGACACAGAGCACATGGTTCTGGAGCTGGGGTTGTGATAAGGGGGCATTTTCTTCCCTTCACTAGGCCCAAAGAAAAGGAAAATACTTATAAAAATACTTTATTGGCAACAGTGTCCAGCAAGCAGCTCACTGTGCTTTCTGTGCTCCCCTCTGAGGTCTGCCAGCAGAGAGGCTGATTGCCGTCTGACCGTGCATGGCAGCCACCTCCCACCCCTCTTTCTTTAGTTCTGCACCCTCCTAAACATGTCATTGTTTATGTATCTGCATGTGCTGGAGATAAATACAGCCTAGCTTCCCCCTCCTCAGCAGAGCTTACACCTGTGATCTCTGATTCTTCACCTCTGCAGCACTGCACACCTGCACCATTTCATGCTGTGTGATAACTGTGGGTTATTGTGTACCCTGGGGTTTTATGTAACCTGGGTTTCTCCTCCTAGGCTCATCTCAGCACCTCCAGCCCAGTTCTACTTCTGATGGCTTGTTACCCTCTATTGTCTTATGTTTGGGCACCTCCAAAATCAGCTCTTCTCCCTTCAGAGCTCTCTCTGTGATCTTAGTCATGCTTGACAAACTTCCAATCCCCTCCATCATTTCCACTCTCCTCTGCAGCAATTTCCATCTACAAGTACAAGGTTATCATAACTAGAGGGACCATATTTAAGTATAAGAACAGTTGGACAGGTTCTTCTACCTTTACTCTTTCTTCATTAGCTTCTCCAGGTCCAGGCACAGGCTCTGCCACACAGGTAGCTCATCACTGCTTCTCCTTCAGAGAATGGCTGCGAAAACATCTTTAAAATCTTTAAATTTTTAAAATAAATTTTAAAATCTGTTTGATTTTTAAAATATGTTTTAAGTAATTCTAAATCTGTTTAAAATTTCTTAATCTGTTTTTAAAGCTGTCTTTGACAAAGAAGCTAATAAGAGAGAATTATTAGCAGCAATTAGAGAAGAATCATGACCAAACTTTCAAAGCAACAAGATGCTTGAACTATTCCAGCTATGATAATAAGTACATAAAAAAAAATCCTGGTGGAACATTACCATGGATGGGAAATCAGCTGCAAAGAAGTCATCTTGTTTTTGTTTTCTTATGGAATTCAGGTTAAGGACCATGACTTGAAAAGTTACTTTGACTAAGAATTGCCACATCTACTCTGAGGAACAAGGACAGCATTTCAGCAAAACATAAGCAAAAAAAATCAAAATAAGATTTCCTAAGGAAAACAGAAACTTAAAATAACACCAACTTCAAATTGCTTCTTGTGTGGTGATCTCATTTCCTAAGGATCAGCTTCTTATTACCCCTCCAAGTATGAGGAGGTATATTAATCTTCTTACAGCTAATACTCTGATTGTCTGATTAAGCAAATTTTAATTCATCAGATTTATTCTGTAGACTCTTTCCTTATCCTACTGTTGGGCATAGAAGTGTGGGATGGAGGGCATTCTCCTGGCTTCAGTTTTGAAAAGGATCAGAACTGGGTTTTACTGTCCACCTGCAACCAAAAGAGGGAACAATCATACGGGTCTGATGACAAGAAAAAGTTTTCCTGTAGCTGTAATTGCTGCACTCTTAGCTTGCGTAGTGATTTGCAGAAAGGATTTTGGATGGTTTGCAGGGGTAAATGATTTATTTGCATCACTAGAAATTCAAAGCATTGTTGGTTCTAAATTCAAGAATAATTGAAATCTATAAAAGATTTTTTTAAAGGGTTTGGAGGGATAGAAAAACTTAAATACAAGAATATAAGTAGCAAGATCTTATCCCATAAGCTAAAACTGAGAACTACCTGTTCAGTGCTCCAAAATCAAAACTTGTTTTTCTATTTCTGCAAATTGATTAATAGTATGTGTTGACCATTGGTTTGAAATATTTAATCTGTTCTCTTAAAGTAGCAAAATGTGGGAATTAAACTGCTACAAGGAAGGCATGCCAAAACAGAGAAGGAAGCTATTTAGCCAGTTATTTCTGCTTTACAAGGTTTACAATCCAAAAGCAAGTTTTCAAGAATAAAGTTATTTTGCCTCATTTTGAAGTGTCAAACCTGGTTCTAAAACCACCAACACTTTCCCCACTGGTTATAGGATACCTAAAGCATCCAAAGCAGTGCCTTTAATGTTGCAAAAAGTTTTTGGTTTGTTTGTTTTGAGTTGTTCTGTTGCTGCTATCCAAAAGCATGAAATGGGCCACAAACAGCGAAAAGTTTTCAAGTGCCCCAATAAGCAACCCTGACTCCTGCTGACATCTCAGGGGACCTGCTACCTGTCCACTCACATAGAAAACTTTGCTGGGAAAGCTTTAAAACAATTTGCTGAGTTGATGCCTTGTCCTTCTGACCCAAAATCTCTTTGTCCCTGCAGCTCTCGTGGTGCGGTTCCTGACCAAGCGGTTCATCTGGGAGTACGACCCAACACTGGGTAGGTGGTTGTGTTCTTAGAAGGCTAATTTATTATTTTATTAGACTATAATATATAAAATAATACTATGCTTAACTAAAGAATACTAAAAGAACACTTACAGAAGGCTAAAAAGATAATAATGAAAACTCATGACTCCTTCAAGAGTCCCAACACAGCTTGGCCCTGATTGGCCATTGAGTCAAAACAATTCACATGAAACCAGTGAAACAATCACCTGTTGGTAAACAATGTCCAAACACATTCCTAAGCAGCAAAACACAGGAGAAGCAATAAGATAATTATTGTTTTCCTTTTTCTCTGAGGCTTCTCAGCTTCCAAGGAGAGAAATCCTAGGCAAAGGGGTTTTTCAGAAAATGTGATGGTGACAGCTGTGTCCTGGAATGGCATGGCTAAAGCAATGGAATCACAGAGCTAAAATTCCAAGCCTCAGTCAGCCTCTAAATCTGCTGCAAAAAAGCTTCTCTAATGGAACAAATTTTTGGCTAAGATGGCAGAATAGAGAAGCAGCAGCACCAGAAAAAGGCTGAGTTAGTGTATGAGGCACATTTCTGCTCACTCAAAAATCCAGGGGAATTCTGCCATTGAAACAAATTGCTTCAGCATTACACTTTTCCAATCATTTAGTGTGATACCAGTTTTCTCCTTTGGAATAACCCAAATGTCTTCTGCTTGAGAATAAGATACTGGGATACAGATCTGTATTCTGGGAGAGATATCTTAAAAATTTGTGGCCAAAACCAGGTTTTACAGTCAGTCTGCCTAGACTCAGGTAACTTTTTTGCTCTTTTTCAAACATATATTGTGTCTTAATTTTTGGATGACCAGATAGGGGCGTCCACATGTCCCTTCCACCGCTCCCACTTAGGTCTGTTGGGTATGGCATTTTCATGAAGCTGGCTCAGATATTTCAAAAAACCCATCAAAAAGTTGCCCTGAATTAGAGGCTTCACTTAAAACTTGTGCCAAGGTCAGTTTTTTACTATTTCTTAAATTAGCATATATTTAAATGCTCTGCAAATCCAAGCCAAGAAGTCCAAGACAAGGCACTCACTTCTTAGAAGGTGCCTTCAATAGCTCAGGACTAAGTAATTCACACACAGAGTAAAGGGCTGGAAAGTTCTCTTTTCTCCAACAATTTGTTCCTCTCTCCTTTCTAACATTTCCTTGCAGGTTCCAACACAGATTATATAGTTAAACATCAAGTTCTTTATTAAAGTTCTTTCCTTAACAGGTTTCATTAAGGAAATAGAAAATGCCATAAAATTGCACAGCAGAAATGAAGTTTAATATATTCTATTACAGAACCCAGGCAGCCCTTTGTAAAAAGCAAGTATCCAGGATTTTTGTTTGGCAAAATGGAGAGATAACAGATATCAAAGGGAGAGATAACAGATATCAAAACACCCATCTTGGGAAAATAAATCTCAGCACAACCTGAGCTCAAATACAGTCTTTTATCTGCTACTATCAGTGCAGCCCTCAGTGAATTATGTGTCACCTGCCTTGTGCTGCACAGTGGAATGTTCAATAGAATGTTCCTTTGGCATTATTAGTGCTAGTACTTCACATTTCTACCACCAGTACATCATTCTAAAAACTTGACAAGAGGTGTAAAAAAGCCTTCTCTATCAGTGTAGTTCAAGTTCATCAATTTCTTACAGGGCCACTGCATGCAGAATCATCCTTTTTGCCTTGTTTAAGCACACAAATGAAGTTATTAGCAAGCTACAAGGCTTATTTTTTTTTGCCCCATTATGAGGGCCCCATGCCCTTTTTGCTGTACAAGGCTTGACATTTGTTTCTGTTTTACAAATGAATACAATTGCAAATTACTGTGCCCCTCAGGAATCTAATTGTCTTCTCTTTGCAGCAAGGAAAGCTTTCGTGCAGGCAGCAATAAACTAAAAAATTAAATCTCTTCTGACTTACTGAATTCTACATCACCATTCAGGCTAGAGAATAATAGCTTAAATTATGTATTACAGTCATTGTGATGCTCAGCTCTCTAGGTTGCTCTGAGGAAAAGGTTTGAGAAATTCAAAAACTAATAAACTATTGTCAAGGAGTTATTCCTTAATCACAGTAATCTCTGGTGGAAGCTGCTCACCAGGAGATTGTTTTGTAAAATATTATTTTTTCAAACTACAGATCACAATGGGATTCAAAAAGGGTTCTGAACTGTTAGAGATGAGAAATAATCTTGAAATTGTAACCACTATTTAGGCCTTCAGAGATCAGTGAGAAAGAAACTGTACCTTGAAAAGCTTTGAAAACCAGTGCCTGAAAAAAATGCATTTCTGCCTTTTAGCATTGTCATTCTGCAGTGGTTTGGTGTCCACTTACCTGCAAACATCTGAATTCACTGAGAAGTTCCAGCAGAATAAATTAATTTCTTCTCAGCAGTCATGGGCAGGCAGTTCTGTGGAAAGAGGGATATCATGCTCAATCAGTATAAAAAATTAAAGTTGTGTCAGTGAGGGTAATTTCCTCTACAGGGAGAAATAAACAGCTTTGTCAAGCTATTCCAACAGGACAGGAGTAAAACAGATGCAAACCATCCAGCTACTAAGCAATGGGAGGTTTTGCCAAAAATCCCTGGGGCTGAGACAAGAACATCAAATTTCCAGTTTATTTCTTATGTCAAGCTTTCAACCACCCATTAGCCCTCTGATGCAAGCAATCTCCAGATAATTCCTATTTTTAGGAAAGCTTTCACCAAGCTGTTCAAGGCCTGATGAAAAATCAACATTAACCTAAAGTAAGCGTCGTAGTAAAAAAAACCCCAAACTATTCCTCTTTTTATTCAAGGTGGCACATTTTAACTGGAAAGGGAAAAACACACCTTATAAATATTCCTTACTCTTCTAACCTGCCAGAAGAAAATGAAGGGCCATATTTTTAGCAGCACCTGGACAGAATGCTGTAGCACCAGGAGCCAAATTACCAACCACAAAATAACATTTTCTGGCGGGAGGAACATCAGTGAGCCCTGCAAGCTTTGGAGAACAGAGCTGCTGCTGAAGTCAGGGCTCTGCAGCTCTGCCACTTTTGTGTAGATGTTGGATCTGTGCAAGCGCTGCATCTTCACCAAAAGTACATCTCACTCTGCTTTTTATTTAACTGTTCTCAGCCAAAGGGCAGCAACCTCAGCAAAGGTTATTTTCTGGGGAAAATAACAGCCTTGACTTGTCCAGTATTTCTGTTTAAATGGCAACTCACTGTCACCACCTTGGCACGGGGATTTTGTTTGCTTTTCCAAAAGGTGCTAAATTCCTCGAGGTAAATTCCTGCCTAGCATTATCGAGGTGAATGGGTTTCCACATCCATCTTCATTTACAGAAAATTGCAGCTATCTCACACTTTCAACAGAATTAGGTGAAAGAGCTCTATGTAGGAATGGGCTGAAATAGCACGTTTTAAAAAATACATGCACCTGTTTTCTAAAATATTAAATACATGAATAATTCAGCACTAAACTAGTCTTCTTTAGCTAGGTAAATATGCACTGAGAAAGGGGATTGGATTCCCATATGGATTTCACCAAAATTCATTCATGTTTACATGTTTTTAAATAGAACAAAACTTGAAAAACATATAAACAAGCTCAGTGTGGTGTTAGAAGGCCTCAAAATACTTGGCCTGAGTAGGACACCAGTGAAGTCACACTCTTGTCATGAATGTGGGACTCTCATGGACCTCAGTAACTCAAGGGCTTGACCCCATAATTGTCAGGGATTTCAGCAGGGAATAGCTGCTCTCCCCATCCCAGTAAATTGCAATAACAATTTTTGAATCTGCATCTCAGCAATTCCCCCCAGGAGCTACTGGCAGTGCCCAGAATTTATGGTGCCTTCACCTGAACTCAAAAATTGATATATTGGGGTTGACTTTGATATTTAATTGATTTTAAAATTGGAGATGCTGAATCAGAGTAATCAAGGAATCTGCTAAATTAATTTTTTTTCCTGGGAGGCAAAAAAAAAGGAGGAGAAAGCCCAAAGAGCCATCACAGCAGCAGAAAGATGAGGGGGACCTGCAGAGAGCTTCATGGACAGCAGCAAATTTCCTGCCTCCATAAGCCATGGCATGCAGGGAGAATATCCTGGATCAAATGATGAAAGAAGAAAATTCATCATTGCTATGGCTGAGCACTTTTAAAAATAATTTTGCAGCATTTCTCTGTGAGCACATTTGTTGCTCCACCAAAACCTGAACGATTTGCTTTACTAGAAACAGAACTGGGGTATCCAAGAACTGGAAGGGAAAAAAATCAAAGGAAAACCCAAAAAAAAAACCCAAAAGAGGAGTGTGTGATGAACTGTGTTTTGTCATTTGTTTTGGATTAGCATTTTTAAGTATAGTTGGGAGAATCAGGAGGTTCCTGAGGCTCAAGGACCTAAATATCAGTTTTTGCAATATAGGAAAAAGCCTCAAACAAATAAAACCCCAGGTTTTATTTATCCTCAGTTCTTTTCTTGATCCTGTATCTGATTTCTTGTCTGCAGTCTCTGCCTCTGTGTCTCACCTACAAAATCCTTCATCTTACAGAAGGATTGCAAATCCTTGGAGTAACTGATACTCACATTTAGGACACTCACCAAAGGCGCACAGAAACACCAAGCAAAGCCTGGATTTGACACAAAAATCTACTTCTATCAGCAAACAAGGAGATGAAATTTTTGCTGACCTTTCTAAAAGTGTCTTGGCTTTCTCACACTGCCCCTAGATGTCTTTCTCCTGCTATTCACACATTTCATAGGATTTTGGCAATCCTCTGAAAAGAAAACTCTCTGTTAGCAGATGATCAGTAGAACAGGACTGTGCATGATGGCAAAGAAAGACAGAAAGCAAAGGAGTTTATTTAATTTGAAAGGGATAGAGAGAAGACTCTTCACTACTTTAAAGTAGAGGTAACTATAAGAAATAGGGGTTTTAAGAAAAATAATTTTGTCAGGACTAGTAGATTAATAGTGACATTTTTGCAGAGTATTTCTTGT